TGAGCGCACCGGCCATCCTCATATAGGATCTGAACCTGAGGCCTCAGCACTACCAGCGCCGCACTCTCCCGAGTAAGCCATGGGGCCGGCCCTGTGTTTTGTTTTAGAAACTGCTTTAGCACAGAACAGCTGTACAGCATGTTGAAGAAAATGCCACCTTGGCGATCTGCTGTACAGGAGGCCTTCCCCTCGTTCTTGACCCTGAACATTCTTAGAAGCTTGCTTAGAACTTAAGGCAGGAATCAATGCACTACATGGAAATGATTTTGGCAAACATTAACTTGAACCCCCCAGTAAGTACTCCTCCAGGTGCCCTACGCCTGTTACTTCCAGCTTCCTCAGGAGGCTTTATCTGCACAAAGAATGTTGTTGCCTTATTTATAAAATATTTTTTCCAATCAAGAACTTTATTCTGGATTAAAAGGCTATTTATGGGCCTGTTTTTATGGGACAGGAAGCTAAAATACCAGACTATCCAGTTCATTATCAGCCACTTGGCAATGCTGAGTGACTTGCCCAAGGTCCGCGGAGAAGGAGAGACTCAGGCAGGGTCTTGAGTACTGGTCCCTTGGCCCCGGAAACTGGGGAAAGGAGGGCCCTGGACACTAGTTTGCAGCAACTTAGGCCCCTGCAAGGATGGGGAAGGTAGGGGTGCCCCCAGCCCCACACCTCATGACCCACTTAGGTTTACAACATTCACATGGCACTCCCTCCCTCCAGCATGGCAGCCGAAATGACCACCCCACCCACCTGCTCAGCAGGAGGTGCCCTGGCAGACTTACCTCCCAAGCCCCCTCTGTCTCTGCACACTACGGTGGAGCTTAGAGGCCTCAGGTGTTGCCTGGAAGAAGTTAGGAGCTCTCTCACCCCTCTTCTCACCCCACCCACCAACTGGCCATAGACTTGGGAGCTCATGCTTGCTTCTTGGCCAGCACTGAACTCTCAGTCATTTGCTGCTACTGCTTCTGTGCATGTTTGTTGGGGGCAGGGAGTGATCCTGTAAGCAGCTGGGCAGTGGGCAACAGGTCCCAGCTGGCTGTGGCTAATATCTGGAGGCCATGTCTGGCTCTGCTGGTTCGTGGATAGGTACCAAGGACAGTGGAGCCCATGTGGCAGGTGCCAGCTGGGGCTCTGGGGAGGACTGGGTCAGTTCAGTACCTCCTTCGGCCTCAGATCACATTCTGTCCTTTCCTGGTAGGCTCAGCCTGGCCAGACTAGCCATCCAGGGTTTGGAGCCTCCCCTCCAGGCTTCTTTCTCAATCTGGCTTCCGGGCAGCTATACCCAGA